AGAAAACATAGCCAACCCCAAACCAGTCTGTGTAACAATAAACCAAAATCGTCATCCTTCATTATGTATGCTGAATGCGATAATGGCTCGATTAAATACAATTTCTCAGATGGTGATTGAGCTAAAGTGTTGTGTCCTACGAACTTGACCAAGGATAGAATTTAAAATTACTTCCTCCATCATATCAAAAAGCACTAATTTTGGACAAACAGGTAAGTTTAATGATGTAATATCACTTATTTTCCTTAGAACCTCTTCCCAAAATGAATGAATGACAGCACATTCCCACCAACAGTGAAAATACGAGCCTGTGAGTCCACATTTTTTCCAACATTGTGAGCTTAATGCCGGGTTTATCTTGTGCAATTTTTCTGGTGTAAAATACCATCGGGTAATCAATTTAAAAGACTGCAAGCGGACATTAAAATTCCTTGAACGATTAGCAGATGAGTTCCAGATGTCAGTCCACATTTGTTCAGAGATCTCCACCTGTAAGTCCTCTTGCCACCTGAATTGATGCTTCAGCATCGTTCGGTTCTCCATTTCAAGTAGCACCTTACATAAAGCCGCCATTAATCCTTTAGACGAGTCTGTAAATGTACGCAGAATGACTTCCAAACCTGAGTAGGGTCTCTCAAAAGTGCGTTTAGATGCCAAAAGTTTGGTTAAGTTTTTAAGCTGTAAATAACTATGTCAAGAGAAGCACACCGCAGCTTGTTCCTCAAAGGACACTTTGTCTCGGATTTTTCCACGTGACACCAGATCAGACAAACGAGAAAAACCTGCTCGTTTTTATTCACCAAAGTCTTCTGGCCCACGTGCCGCCGGAAACCACGGCTGATTTATGAAAGTAGAGTGGCGAGATGTCTTGTATCTGCTGTTTCTTTCTGTGATCCCATACCTTCAACATTAAAGACAACCAAGGATTCTCCCGACAGGTTTTCGGTCGATGAGCTAGTAACATCCAACAAACTTCCTGCAGGTTATAAGGGGCGGCATAGCACTGCTCCATGCGACACCATAAGGTGCTTGTACCACCGCCGTGAAGATGGCAGCTTGATAGTAGATCCGAAGTAGAGGAAAGTCCAATCCTCCCAGATGGGCTGGCTTCGTCAATATGTTTGCATTAATCTGAGATTTTTTTTCCCCTTCCCATAGGAAAGATTGCAGAAACTTTTGCCACTGCTGAAGTGCCTTATTCAGAATAAATATCAGAAGTGTTCGGAAGAGGAACAAAAACTTGGGCAGAATAAAGCTCTTTATCAGATGGAGCCTGTCAGGCAACGAGAAATTAAGAGCATCCCAGTCCTTAACTTGCACCTTAATGGAATCATAAAGCTTGTCATAATTATGGTGCATTAGATCTTTGAGCTCTATCGAGAATTTGACTCCTAAATGTCGCCATGACTCTATAATCCACTTGTAAGGAGAGAGTTCCATTATTTGCCTCTTCAGCTCATCAGGCACCCATATCGGGTATAGTTCAGATTTTGTTGGATTGATTCGCAGACCAGATGCTTTCCCAAACGAGGACAAGATGTGTTCTATATGAGGCAACGAATGAGTCGGATTGGAAATGTGAAGGGTTAGGTCATCCGCGTACAGGTTGACCTTATGCTCATGTCCTCCCATGTTGATCCCCGAAAAGTTTATGCAATAGCATCTCCGTAATTGTTCCGCCAGTGGCTCTATCACCAATGCAAAACGTAGGGGAGACAACGGACAACCTTGTCGCGTTCCTCTTGTGGGATAGAAAGGGTAGGAGAAACAGCCATTCACCCGCACCCTTGAGGTAGGCTTCGCATATAATGCCTCCATGGCCTTCAAAAAATTGCCTCGAAAACCCATTTTTATCAAGGTCACATTCATAAATGGTATTTCCACTGAATCAAAGGCTTTGGTGAAATCTAACGCCAATATCACCGAATTGATCTTTCTTTTCCGGCCATACAGAATGATATTAAAAGTCCTCCTGACATTTTCTGGTAGCTGCCGACCCGGGATAAAACCAGTTTGATCTTCCTCTTTGAGTGACTCAGAGGTAACAGAAGATGAATCAGACTCATCTTCCTCTAACAAAGGACTGTACTCTCTTTGAAATTCTGATGTCTTCTTTCTTTTCTTCTCAGGAACCTCAGAATCTCTCGCACTAGCATTGTGTCTTTTGCAATGTAGATGGGAATGACTTTGAGACTCTTGGCACATGGCCGTAAACTCTTTTCTCATTTCTGTCTTTAACCAAGAAAGGAGATTACTTTGACTCTCTTCCCCCCTAGAGAGGTCTGGTGCCTGGGTAAGAGGGAATTTAGGAGATTCAGCCAGGTCGAAGGTGCCTGTTTCTGAGTCCATCTCCTGAACGGTAGAGACTTGGCGGCCATTTTACTACATGGAAGTGAAAGCAATAAGACAGTACTCAAAATGGCCATTTCCCACCATAATTAACCTATTGCCTAGGCTGCCTTCCCTTTTTATAATCTTGGAAGGGACTAAGGCCTGCCTCCAGTTTGTGCATAGGCAAGGTTTTCCCCCCTGCCTGACCCAAACACCAAATTTAGCCTCCAGGGGGAATCCTCTCCATTCACATCCAGTAACAGTCCCACCCCCCTTAATACAATAGCCTGAGAGCCAGGGGAGGGGGGGGGAATAGGTAAAAAATTCATTTTTCTCTTCCCTAACCCCGCACGTGCAGTAGGCAACCCAGCCACAGGAGCCCGTTCTCTTTCTCTCACCCCAAAGAAACCAGGGGAAGGAGATCAAATTGGCTGCATTAAAGACCCCCCGGGGCCTTCCACGCTTAACGCACCATGGCCTGGAACTCTACTCAGTCTCACACGTTGTCCTGCAGATAGGGAGCCGACTGCAGTCAGTCGGCTACGGCTCGCCTTCTCCGTGGTCGCCGCGCCGACTTTGAAGACCCCTCTGCTTGTCTCCAAAGCTCCCTGAGGGAAGAGAGCAGAGACGAGTCGTGCCAGTCCCCCAAACCTGGACTGGCCGCGCAGCGGGGGTCTCAGTGGCGCAGTGGTTCTCTGGAGGTTGCCCAGGTCCTTCGGCGCCTTCTAGTCAAGCCGCTCTTTTTCTGTGGCTTGAAGAGCAACAAGGAGAAAGTGGGGGAAGAGGCAACAGGGAAGCTAGTAAGCTACCTGTTCCTGCCCTTCTCCTAATGTTTTATTGCAATCTTCTACTTTTCTTCTTTCCTGCAAACTAATGTGCTCTCAAGGAGCACAGTCTACCACATGCTGCTCAGAAGGCAGGGCCGGAGAAAACTGGGTTCCTGGGGACAAGCCCCTCCCCCTTCCATATCTAAAGAGTCTACCAGCCCTGCCTTTGGAGAGGGAGGAGCTTACCTAGGAGTAAGGAGTCTGAAGGACTTCCCCACTCCTGGACCACCAGAGAAGGGAGATGTTGAAAAGCCCATAAAGACCTGAAGCTTCTAGGTGATGCAGGAATGATGGGAAGCCTGCACAAAGTCTTATAGCAGATGAGAACACAAAAATGTGAGATAAAGCCATGTTGAGAAGAAGCGGTAGGGAAATTCAACAAACATTGGTTACAGGAATTCGGCAAGAAATACACAGAACAGGGAAAATAGAAGGTAGATTTTGGGAGATACTGAGAAAGAAACAGCAGTGAGATTCAGATTGTTGAGAGCTTTTTAGGTGTTTTTGGGATTAGGAACTGTGTATCATTAAAGATCCTGTGCTGCTGGAAAACACATTCAGAGGCCTTTTATCAGGGCTTCTTTCTCTTTCTTTTAAGTGTCTATTTCTTTTCTTTTTTTAATCAAAATTTTATTTTTGGATATATCAACATATTCAACATTACACAATTTCTTTCATCATATATCCTTTCCCCTTTTCTCCTACCCCCCCTTCTTGTGGCTTCCCGTAATGCTCCTCCCCCCTTTCTCCTTCTACCATTCCACTATCCGATTTCAATTTCATTCTTAAATTTTCAGGTAACACTATGTTCCGCAGTTTCCTTATTTTCTTTTTACATTTCTGCTCTTAATAATTATCAAAGCAAAGTAAACTATTTTTTACATCCCAGTTATTCTCCATATACTCTTTAAAGTCTTTCCATTCTTCTAAAAAGTCTTCATCTTCTTTATTATTAAGTTTCTTTGTCAAGTTATCCATTTCAGCCATAAAAAGCATTTTCTGTATCCATTCCCATTTCTCTGGTACTCTGTCTTGTTTCCAAGATTGTGCATATGTCATTCTTGCAGTAGTTATCAAATACCATAACAATGTCCTTTTTGTTACGTTTACTTCCTCCATCTTGAGCCCTAGAAGTAATACTTCCGGCTCCTTTTTAAAAGTACATTTCAGGATTTTCTGCATTTCATTATGAATTTCTGTCCAAAAAGCTACAGCTTTGTCACATGTCCACCACATATGATAAAAAGAGCCTTCTTTTTTCTTACATTTCCAACAATTTTAAGTGTCTATTTCAAACGTCACCTCTTGAGGAGAACAGTTACAAGTATCCACGTGCTTATCCCCACATATTGCTTTTATGACACAACTAAAGAAGACTCCTCAATACAGGCTGTTTTGAAAGATTCTCAAGAACGCAGCTAGTCTTTCCACCCAAGTCACCAAGATTATGACAGGGTGTGATTTGTGTGCCACAGCTACAGTGACAGGTACACAAACCATGGAAGCATCAGCCCCTCAACACCCTTCCCCTGATGCCCAGACAATCAGTGCCAGAGTGGCTGCCAAGGGGATGGCTTCACCACTTTCTCCCACACTTGGAGTGATGACTTCACCACTTTTTTCCATACCTGTGCCCAGCCCTGATCTTCTGGACAAGCTGACCTCAATTAACAGGCTCAGAATACAGCCCAGATGCTATGACAATTCTAATGCATTTCTCCTCCGCTAAGATTATGTTCATCGTAAAAACACTGGACCAGTAAAATCACAGACCAATCATACTCAGGCTCCATTTTTCTTCAGCTGCCATAAAAGAAATGGAAGATTATTAATATTCCTTACTTGTCTTCATTGAAGCGACGGCCTATCAAAACTCTACATTTTTCTTCAGGCAGGCAAGCAGCCAGCAGAGGCACCGTCCGTAGTACTCTACTTTCCTTCAGTTAATATAGAATGGAAAAACAAAACATCTATTTAAGAAGTCACAAAGAAAATTTGGTTTTTAATTTTGCTCTTAGAAAAAATAAGCACTGCAAACATTTGCAAGCAAACCCATACATAAATCCAGAAGCAGATGTCAGGATTAACTATCCCAAAGAAAAGCAACCCATGCTGTTTTTCCTTGATACTCTATCTGGTCTTGACATTTCTTCCTGGAAACTGCTAGTCTTGAATAAGCCCCATTCAGTAGACCTGACATTTCTTCCTGGAAACTGCTAGTCTTGAATAAGCCCCATTCAGTAGACCTGCTTAGACAGTATTGTAAATTAAGACTATCGACTTATTTTGAGAAAGAAGAAGAAGAAGAAATTGGATTTATACCCCGCCCTTCACTCGGCGTCTCAGACTGCCTTACAAACTCCTTTCCCTTCCCCACAACAGACATCCTGTGAGGTAGGTGGGGTGAGAGAGCTCTTTCAAGAACTACCCTTTCAAGGACAGCTCTTGTCAGAACTGTAGCTTGCCCAAGGTCATCCAGCAGCTGCAAGTGGAAGAGTGGGGAATCAAACCCGGTTCTCTCAGATTAGAGTCCACACACATAACCATTATACCAAACTGCCACCTGTTGATTTTCTTGGATTTTTGACAGTTTTCAACAGTACTGATAACAGTATCATTCTGAATCTTTGTGGAGCTAGGAGTGGGAGCCCTGGTTCTTTGGTGGCCTTGTTCATGAGGACAAATTCACAAGGCTTCAGCGGCACCATGAAGATTATCAAAATATATTTCAGCATTATTAGTCTTTAAGATGCCACTAAACTCCTGTGTAATTTAACTACCACAGATTTACATGGCTACCCTTTGGGAAATATGATAATGATGGCAGTTTTGAGAAAGTGATGCTAGGAGAAATACACTTCTGCTGTTGCTGTATGAAGCCCACAAGACTCAATTTCATTCTCCATACTTTTTATCTACAGGTGACTGCAGGTCATCCAGAGGGTAAGGGCAGCAGGCATTACTTTTCCTTTTCAACTAAATCAGATGTGGCAATGGAAGCGCTGAAATGTTGTTAGGATGATGTAGTCAGATAGGTAAAATTCATAAACTAAACTTGAATCCAGACAAAACGGTTTTTCAGATCTGGATGGTGGTTCATTGCCTGTACTAGCTGGGATAGTACTCTCCCTAAAGGACCAAATCCACAGCTTGAGGGTACTGCTTGGTTCAGAGCTGGCCAGGTATACTGATGTGGCCTCCATGGTGTGATGTGTGTTTTGCTAATTTAGGTTGGCATGCAAGTGATATGTTTCCCTGGAGAGAAATTAGCTTGTCATTGGGAATGCTGATTATTATGGCCAGGGTCCAACATACCTGACCGCCTTTCATATATACCCCAGAGAGCACTACGGTCAGGGTCACAAAACCGATTTGCCCTCCCAGGTCTCAAGGATGACAGGCTGGCTGCAACCAGGGCCAGGGCTTTCTCGGTGGTGGCTCCAAACTGGTGGAATGAGCTCCCGGAAGAGATCAGAGCCCTGAGGGACCCTTTACAGTTCCACAGGGCCTGCAAGACGGAGCTCTTCCACCAGGCCTTCAATTAGGAGCCACCACCACCACCACTATCGTCACCATTATTAACAACAACAGAAACTTATAAAGCCTGGTGCCTGACAGCCTGTGCTCGCCGATTATATCCGAGAAAGATCAGCAAGCTGAATATTTAGATAATTTTTGGAACTGATAATGCCATCTTTATGACACCAAAACAATACTGCTAGCACTTTAATGTTATTATAATATGGTTTTAGTGAACTGTTTTAGATGTTTTATAGTATTATGATTGTTAATCTATGCAAGTCGCCCTGAGCCTGCCTTGGTGGGGAGGGCGAGGTATAAATTGGAAAAATAAATAAATAAATAAATAAATAAATAGCAGTCAGTCACTATTTCCAATTATTTTAACAATGCTGCTGCTTTTTTGTGCGTTTCCTGCACTGTTGTTTTGTGTATTTTTATTGTTTTAGGTTTTATTGTATTGTATGTGGTGCGAGCTGCCTTGAACACATCTTGGAAAATCAGCATGACAATTTCTCAAGTAAAAATAAAAATAAAAATAACACTATCACCATAAGTTTATCTCAATTCAAAATTGCATCACTGGATTTTACAGAAAACAGTGCCATAATTATCCTGAAATACTTCAGAAACAAAAAAATGCTATCATCTCATTTTTAAGTAGTCCTGAACACCTACAAAACTGAATCTTATTCTAGTTGCCCTTGACATTCTTGGGAAGAGCAACATCATTAAAATGAATACATCACCAAAGCATGGTTAGAAAATAATACTTATAGGAGTTTTTTTTCCCAGCAAGTAATAAATGAGAAGCCTAAACTATCAATTCTGTAAGGTATGTACAAAACACAGATCTCTATTACAACAGGCTTGGATCTGGCAGATGTATCATGTGACCGCATTATAAATACAGATGAGGTTTGCTGAAAAAGACAGGTTGCTTACCTGTAACTGGTGATCTTCGAGTGGTCATCTGTGCATTCACACCCTTGGGAATACTCTGCGCCTGCGCTGACCTTCTCGGTACCGATAGCTAGCAAAAGGGATTTTCGCGCCTCTCCCAGGTCACGCGCCGGCTCCACTGCGCATGACCAAGGAGGGGCACGCAGATCCCGCCAGTTCCTTCTGACCGCCGCCCAACAGCCTTCAAAGAAACAAGATGAAGGGCCGAGAGCAGAGGGGAAGGAGGGCGGGTGGTGTGAATGCACAGATGACCACTCGAAGATCACCAGTTACAGGTAAGCAACCTGTCTATCTTCTTCGTGGTCTCTGTGCATCACACCCTTGGGAGAATAGCAAGCAATAACTCTTACCTGGAGGAGGGGCCGAGGCCCTACACCTGCGCCGTCTGCAAGATAGACCGACCCAACGCCACACGACGAGTAGACCGGACATCAAGGGCATAATGCTTCACGAAGGTGAGCGGAGTAGCCCAAGTCGCAGCGTTGCAGATGTCCTCCAATGGCATCCCTCTCAGGAAAGCTGTGGAAGCCGCCACCGCCCTTGTAGAGTGGGCGCGAAGTTGACCTGGAAGAGGTCTCTTAGCCAAAGCGTAACATAGCTTGATTACTTCCACAATCCACCTGGACAGCGTCTGGGAAGAGATCTTCTTCCCTAGGGAGGGCATACTGTGAGCAACAAACAAGGCTGGAGACTGACGAAAAGACTTGGTCCTGCCCAAATAGAACAGCAACGCCCTCTTAACATCCAGAGAGTGCAATTTCCGTTCCTCTTCATTGGCAGGAGACGGGAAAAATGACGGCAAAACTATATCTGAACGTAGATGAAACTCCGAAACGACTTTCGGTAAGAAGGAGATGTCCAAAGACAACGACACCCCATGAGGGGAAAAAATCAAGTATGGTGGATCACACCTTAAAGCAGACAACTCACTGACTCGACGAGCAGAAGTAATGGCCACCAGAAACGCAGTCTTGAGCGATAACAACTTTAGAGAGCAAGTGGCCAGTGGTTCGAAGGGTTTTCCCATCAAAAACCGCAAAACTAAAGCCAAATCCCAGGCCGGAGTCGGAGAACGACGGGGAGGGTACAGGCGAATAAGACCTTTACAAAACTGTTTCGTCTGAGGATGCGAGAAAACTGAAAACCCATCAATAGATGGATGAAAAGCTGACACCGCAGCTAAATACACCTTAACTGAAGAAAAACTGAGTCCCAAGTCCATTCTGGACAAAATAAACGCAAAAATAGACCTCAAATCCACTGGCGGAGGAGGTAAATTGGAAGAACTCAAGTACTGTAGGAATAAATCCCACTTCTTTGCGTAAGACGTCCTAGTAGACAGTTTACGACAATTCAACAGGACCTCATTGATACGGTCATCCATCACTGAAAGCGTATTTCCCATAGAGTCAACTTGAGACTCAGAGGATCGTAGTGAAGGACCTGGCCTTCCTGAGCTTGGAGGAGATCCAACTCCTGCGGGAAGTGTACGAAGGATCCCTTGGCTAACCGCAGCAGTGTCGGAAACCACACCTGCCGAGGCCACCAGGGGGCTACCAGGAGACAATGGGGCTTGTCCTGTTGTATTTTCACAAGCACCCTGTGGAGCAGCGGAATCGGAGGAAATAGGTATAGAAAGTCGTGAGCCCACGACATCAACAGACCGTCCCCCATTGACAGAGGGTCCAACCCCGCTCTGGAGCAAAACCTGGGACACTTCTTGTTCAATCGAGTTGCAAAAACATCGATGTGGGGATGTCCCAGATGTTGAAAAAGAGGAAGGAGATACTTTGAGTTCAACTCCCATTCGTGGTCCGATGCTCCCCCTCTGCTCAGGAAATCCGCTTGTTGGTTCAAAGTTCCTGGCAGATGGGCAGCTTGGAGAGTGATGTTCCAATGAAGGCACTCTTCCCATATGTCCATAGCTAGCCTGCAAAGGGACCTGGACACGGTCCCGCCCTGGCGATTGATATAAGCCATCGCAGTTGTGTTGTCCGTAAAAATCAACACATCCTTCCCTACAACCTGTCTGAGTAGGGATCTTAGGGCAAACTTTACGGCCAGCAGTTCCAGATAGTTGATATGATGACTCTTCCAAAGGGGTTGCCATGGAGCACCCACACAAGTGTCGTCTGTATGAGCACCCCAACCCCACAGGGAGGCATCTGTGGTGATGGACATTACGGGAACTATCGGTTGGAACGGTGCACCCGCCAACAGATTGGTGTCCACGAGCCACCACTGCAGGGAGACGAGGACCTGCGGAGGCACTACCAGTTGAAGGCTCGGAGGATGGATGGAAGGGCGAAATTTCTTTAGAAACCACAGCTGCAACGGGCGCATGCGAAGGCGTGCATATTCGATCACGGAAGTGGTGGCTGCCATGAGACCCAAGATCCGCTGAATGTGGACCGCTGATGTCACGTTGGACTGGAACAAACGTTGAATTTCCAGA